CTTCAGTAATAAAAAAATCCAAGGGGCGATCCCACTAATCCCACCACCTTCTGTCAATGCTCAGTTTTCTTCCTCTTCTTCTACTCAATGCATCTCCACGGATCTGCAAGTGCATTCATAATGGTGAAGTATTCGATAGGTCTCTCAAGATAGAGTAATTCTCCAAGTGATACGTTAAAGTGTTAAGCATTTTGAATATACCAACTTGTCAGATACTATTTGAACTTGTCTGGTGATTTGATGCAATTGCAAAATGATTCTATTTTCTTCCTAAATTTACACAGCTTATTAGATTCCACTTTTCCATGAAGTTTCTGTTCTATTTTAGAGTAAGCTGATGTGTGTGTATAATATATAAAGTATATATTAAAAGGTATACACACACACTTTACTCTTTTAAAACATATGTATAAGCTGCCTGCAGGAATATGGAATTATTTAACATAAGAACAATACATAAACTTGATCATGCAAGGGTGAACAGAAGAATAAACACAAACCTTGGGACCTACATTGTTCTTAGTTGAATCATCCTGAATATTATTTGTCATAAACAATATGGCAACTATCAGGACAGAATAATACATTGACGGGTTGTTAAGATTATCAACATTTTGATTTTGACTGAAAACAATCCAAAGTGCTTAAAAGTAAATTGGACAAATTATTTTTGTCAGGGAAGGTCTTATGATATTGTTAAGTAAGCAAAGACTCATTTGAGTCAAATTCTGTTGCTTTTTGCTAAGTTCAGATGGGTAAAGGTAGTCCTAAAGTAACTACTGTATATCAGCATAAAGATAACAAGGAGAATACCGTGTGACTTCAGCATGTTACTTAGTAAAAAGATTAATTCCTCAGAGGAACAATATTTTGTTGATAATTTCTAATGTCCAAAGAGATTGTGTTCACTAATGAATGTTTCTAATTTATAAATAAAATGCAAATAGATCAATTTGCTATCATCTTGCCCAGCAGAGCATTCTGCCAGGCAGAAGTCAAAAGAAATAGTGCAGTCAGAGTCAAATAAACACCTCTTGGAACAGTAGAGCATCCCTAAAGAGCAGCAGTCATCAATGCACACTTCCATTAATAAATTGCTGACTGATGGCACCAGTGACAATGAAAATATGCACTTATTGGTAATGTTTACACATTGCTCCCCTTGCACTCCATGCTTGAACGCTTTACCCCCACAGTGACACACATCACATGTTATGTTATGGAGGTTCAATTCTGTAAAATATCAAGTATCCCCTAAAGACACTTTAGTGGTTTCATCACCCACCCCCCAAAAATCAAAGAGGAAAATAGAGTTCACAGGATATTAGACTATTTATATAGCAACTGAAAGCCACAACAGCAGCAACAATCACAGTAAACAAACAAGCAAACAAATAAATAAAGCAAAACAGAGGGGACAGTAAGAATCACTTTTAATGCCATGATTCTGGTACTGGTTTAAACCTATTGCTCTTCGTGCAGCTAAGCAAGTATATGAACGTATTAAACGGACACAAAAGTAGATGCGGTTTGTCCACACATATACTGCACATATGGTAATTAATACACCGTTGTATTTTATATGGTTTATGGAAAGAAATACTTGAGAAATCAAGTTATGTATTTTCTCTTTTCTGAAAGAACTAAGATACATCCATTATGAGCACTATTCAGAAATAAAAGCAAGCAAGACAAATAAAATTAATAAACTGACTATATCTGTTAATCGTCCATACCCTAAATACAATCTCAAATGTTCAAAAGGATTGGGTAACTCTGCTACTTCATATTTTAATGTGTGTAAAGCTGAAAAGTTCTTCCATGGCTGACAGATTTGGTTTGTTTACTTTATTAACAACAACATCCTAAATGCTTTGGATCCTGTTGCCAAAGCATACCATATATGTATAAATATTTCTGCTGGGAAAAAAATAGCTACTGATTGGTGCAACATAGACTTATGTTTCATCACATATATTATGTTTCAACACAACTATGGTCAATGTGAGCTGCATGGTTATTACAAAGCACTTTCATGAGCTCATATACACATTAAAGTCATTTGGTGCTTCACCACTGATTTCAACAGGACTGGGGTTTCGCCCTAAAATAAAAACTTGGATGAGGTGTCATGCGATATTCTCTTACTGGTAAAATGATTTACAGTAGTTTATCCTCCCTTTCCTCTTGCCAGTAGCACAATAATTCAGGTAGGATCATATCTTCCAACTATAGCCAAGGGATCATCTCTAACTAAAGTCCTGTGGTTAGATTATAAACACTGAAGATAGTTAGTGAAGACTTTATTTTTAAAAACAAAAATAAGCTCTCGTTTCTTTAATTGAACAGCATAATATTTGGGAAGGCATCTGAATGAGAGTCAGTACAACTATTCTTGACAGTTAAATACATCCAGTTTATTTTCTACTCGATTCTCATCATATGGAAAAAAAAAATTAAATATTTAGTTGAACTGCAGTTAAATCAGTAAATTACTGGGAGAGATCAAAAGATAAAGTGTTTTAAATATTGTATGCAGAATAGTCCTAAGCATCATTTTTCAGAGGTAAATGCCTCTTAGTTCAACAGGGCTTATTCTTGATAAACTTAGCATCAGCCAGTAAAAACTGGCTAGTGAAAAATTGAGGTTTTTTTTTTTTTAAATATATAAAGGATTGCTTCCATGGCATTTTCCTGCTATTCCAAGGCTAACAAGCTTTTCCCTCTTCAACACCCCCAGGCAAAATTAGAAAATGAGTACCCATGCCAGTACTTTCTTTATATGATAGAAACCCCATTATGCAAGCCCCAGCTTTCCTATGTTCTTTGTAACACTGTTAAGTCACTCTTGTAGCCCCAGGTCAACTCTGCCACACTAAACAGCACACCCATTAATCCAAACTTCCAATTATGAAAATCTTTTGAATGATCTCCCTGTGGCTATTTGAACATATGAAGTTGTTCTGTACTTGTTTTGATGAGGTGAGGGAAGGGGAGATTTCTATTCTCTCAATATTTTCACAGATTCTTTGTGGAAGTGAGCAAAACAATCACATTAATGTATAAGAAAGTATTATTGTTCACTAGAATCCACAATATGGAACTTTGGCACTTATTACACCTGGGAGCAAAAGAACAGAGCAGTTATTAAATTACTATATGGTGAAGACAAAATAGACATTAAATTTTTGTAACACTGTTTGGTTATAATCTTATATGATTTGGTTGCAACAGAATTTAACGACAGGTGTTAGGTTGATTTCACAAACATGAGAATCAAGCCCTCTAAGAAATATATTTTTAAATTCCAACTGTCAAACCAATTCCCTTATCACAATTGTTCTAACAATTAATGGGTATGGGACTACTTTGGTGATATTGGGGAAAACTCCAGATCATAATTAAAATTTATTAGATGTAGGTTGCAGTTCTATACTCATTTGCCTCTAATTAAACCCTGTTGAATCTAATGGGACTTACCTTTGAGTTGACACAATTAGGACTACAGTGTTAAAATGCTATTTTTTAAAAAAAAATAAAAGTATCTGAAATTATATCTTGATTTAGTAATTTAAAAAAGATAGTAAATGAAAATACAAGAATTGAAGCTTAAATTTCATTTAGCATCTGGAGTACAGATTCCTATTAAACAATCCAAAGCTCATTATAAAATCAATATCAACTTAAGCAGTGTGCCCAAGAGAAATAGCAAAAAGGTCATTCCCAGAAACTCAAACAATTTTCTTGCTGGAAGAGAAAGATTTTAATTACAGATATTATTAATCAGAACTGTCACTGGGAGGTTACTCTGTTATTTATTCTTTTATTTATCACAAATAAGTATAATTACTTTCAAATCATTAATTTTATCAGCATTACTAGAAGAAAAAGAGATCTGATATTGATTTAAATACATTACTTTAAAATACTTAAAAATTTGAACCAAATAAATTGAACTAGTTTAATTGTTGGTTATTATTTTTATGTATGTATTTTAGTTTCAATACATACAGCTTCATTTCACGAGAAATTATCTTCCTCATCTTCCCTTCTCCCCTTGATAAGGTTTTCTTTGAACATTGCCACCTTATTTAAAATTTTCTCCTTATACTTAGGGTTCTTCCTCTAAAACAGTAATAATTGGCACCTACTTGAATATATTACTATTACTGAAAATGTCATTGGATAACTAAGCAATGTTTCCCTCACCCAAGAAGGAAAACATAGTTAGTACAAGTGTAAAAGATGAATTGAGAGAGAAATTAGAGGGAGAAAGGGGGATATTTAAAGATTTTCTAAATTTATCCTTCTATATACTAGGATATGAAAGCATGTACATTTTCAGTTACACAGTGTAAAAAATAAATATAATGAAAATCTAACACAAAAAGTTTTAAAAATATTTTATTATCTAAACGCCCCATTCCCTCTTTAAGGATGTGCTTTAGCAGTTCCCAGAATAAAACAGGACTGTTTTTAACTTTTCTAGCTTCTACAAATGTATCAACATTATATTCCAATTTATCTGAATAATGGAGAAACTGACAACTGTGCAGGTCAAAGGTTATTTTCATATCAGACCTCCAAGAATTCAATGATTCAGAAAAAGAAAGATACCTCCAAATAACTGCATGATCCATGCCTCATAAATTGTAAAGATAGTTTTTAATATCAACTATGCAATGACAAATTCTAGATATTAATCTTATTTTCTTCAGAGGCTTGCAATTGGCAACCACGTCTTTTAATGTTTCTAATTAAAGGCACATTTACAGCAAGCTACAAAAATAGCCAAGATTAATAACCAGCAATAAAAAGCTGTTACAGTCTATCAGGGGATATTAATGGAAGGACTCCAAATAAGGTATTGTTTAAAGAAAAAATCCTACCTCAGCTATAAATAAATAAAAACAGCACTCCCTTGTGTGGGGGATAATAAATAACGGTTTAAGTATCCAACAAAAATAAAGAACTGATGGAGTAGAGAAAGTAACTTTTACCTGATAAGTGGCAGTAGCATCCGAGCTGGTGTCAGACCCTAGGCTTGTCAACTTCTCCTTTAGTTTGTGATGAGAGCCATGGCGGAGGCAGTAGATGACTCCAGAAGTCATAAGGACCCCCAAAATGCAAGCAATGGAGAGGAGTGTCAGTATGATAAATTTGGTGGTGTCTTCCTCTTCCTGAGCATGGTGGGGCAAAAGTTCCAGCTTGTTTTTCTACATCAATATAAGAAAAAAAGGGGGGGGGAGCAAGTGACATGCTTTAGTATTTATTTACTCACTGACCACTTGAAAATTTTCAGTAATAACAGAACACCACATCCCCAAATTTCAAACTCCCCCCGTTTTTTAAAAACCTGCTAGAGAGAGAATGCCTAACTGAATATAGCTACTATTTTTATTAAACAGATAAAACTGCAATGTTTACAACTGCTTTTGTTGACACTGATCCCAATTCTTTGGAATTGATTTTTTCAAGATTCTTCCATGCATTTCCATACATATTTACTAAAATATATATTCTAAGGAGCTGAGTAAAATTTGCTTTCTACTTGTATATTTTGAAATACAGACTAAATGGAGGCACTCTAAAATAAGAATCATGAAGTTCAGTGAGACCGTAAATCCTACATGTCTATAGCCCTAAACAATACAAAACCAAAATTAAATGAACTAAAAGGAATGTAAACATAGTCAAATCAAGTGCCACAAAGAATAACCTCTTCTCCCTTTTAAGTTAAAAAGATAACAGCAACACATACCTCACCACATTGTTCATGACATTTAAAAAAAAATTAATTCAACTGAATGTTGGACTGTGCAGAATTGGTATAGGAAGGGAATATTCCAACAATAAGCTTAATGTATCTTATAGTCAGCTTTCCTCATGACACTTTTTATACAAGTGGGAAGTGGATTTCTTCCGTTTGACACATCATCCCGAATATCTGTTCAATTGGTTCCCCCAAAAATTACTGTTTACCATTTAGCACTTCGTTAATTTTATTTATGGAGGCGAATTTTCACGTGGGAAAGGCAAAATCCATCTTTCTTTTCCTCCTTATTGGTCACAGAATCAAATAAAAGTTTAGTCTTTCTCTTTTCTAAGGAAAGGGAGGAGAGGGAAATGGAAACATTTCCAAACTTCTTCAGCTTTGCATTTTAAAGTATGCGCGAGCGTGTGTGTATGCGCGCGCGTAGCAACCAAAAAAAGAAGAAAGA